TATTATTATTATTATTGTTATTGTTATTTCATTATCATTATTATTATTTTATCATTAGTATTTGTATTATAATTATCATCATCGTTAATATGAGGGTAGTAAGAGAATGATACTTCCGGCCTTTTTCTCTTCTCTCCTTGTGTAGCTTCTGTCTAATAGTCTTTTTTTCCTAACTCGAGATGGCTATTAGTATGTCGATGAGCTCCTCTTCACTAAGAAAATAACAACACTGAAATTCTAAATTACCTTGCTGGCGTAACCAAAAGAATATTTTTACTTAGCATTACTTCAAGGACAAAAATAATCAAATCAGCTTTCCAAACGTATAAACTGTGTGAACATGTCACAATCAATGGTCATAGAGGGGACTGAATAGACAGCTACAGTTATTCTTTTACCCAGATGGATTATATCATATGTAAGGCAGAGAATGAAAAGTGCGATATTTTTAAACACCACCTACTAATTCTCCTTTCTTATTTGAGCAACATGAACGCATTTCCTTTCTCTTAATAAAAACTAAGGGGGAAAAAACGTCAAAATGAAACAAATTCAGATAAGTCTATAATATATGCCAGTGCCAATCAAAGTCATATATAAGTCGGACATTTCACAACTGATTGAGTTAATAATGTTGCTAAACTCTATTACCTTTCTCTTACAATATAAAAAGATTGCAGAAGGTGTGAAACATGAAAATGAGAAAAGGAGCTCCGAAGTTGAAGTGGAATTTTGTTTCCTTTCGGACCCAGTACCTTGGAATAGCCTGATGTGACTTACGCCTGGTTATGATCAGCGCTTACATAATAATGTAATGTTCATTCTGCACAGGCCTTACTGCTAGTAGATAGCAAATCTGACAATCCTATTTGACCACCTAAAACCTAATACATAATTTATAATATCCTTTTATAGACAGATAGATCTTTTTGACCAACTTTTGCACGCTATTAGAGATAAACACTGGAAATGGAAAGGATAAAAACATGTAATTGTTAGGTCTTTCAGAAGTCAGATGGGTGGAGGCAGGCTTGATCAAACATGTTCTACAACAATAGTATAATATTCCAGGTAAAAAAATGGAAAATGAAATTACATGATAAAGCAATAACAAAGAGCATCAGATGTTTTGGGGAGTGTCAGATAGGGAACTCGTGAAAATGAAATGCTAGAGTTTTATCATCACTATTTAGGTTATTTAAGAGTTCGGACCTCTGAGATTACTGCCCATGTCCAAAAGGACCGAGCCAAATATAACATTTCGTGTATGGTGCAACTCCCAAGGACACAACATCGGACTGAGCTGAGGCTCAAACCTCTGGCCCCACAATCTCACGACCACAGGTCCATCGTGGCTATCTTGAGGAGGAAACGTTTTGACATAGATGTCATCCAAGTGTATGTACCAACATCAGAGCATGGCAATTAGGAATAAAGGAATTTTATGAAAACCTTGACAAGGCAATGAAACAACTAAAATCTCAGGAGAAAAGGCTGGTTAATGGAGGCTTTGGCTTTAATGCAAAAGTAGGAAATACAAGCATAGAACATATGTTGGGCTATGATGAATTGGTAAAGAGAATGAACGCTATGTACGACTTATAGAATGATGCAGAGAAAATAATTTCCCGATTTTAAACACCTAGTATGAAAATCATCCAAGAAAAGGATGCACTCGGAAGAATCGTGGAGAAAGAGCTTTAAAAAACCGAGCCGACTTCATTGTTATTCAGAAACGTTTTAGGAATATAAAAAGCATCTAAATCATTTCCAGGAGCCGACTGTGAAAGTAACCAAGTACCACTTATATTAAAGTGCGGATGAGACTGTAAAACGTAGAAAAGTACAGCACCAACTCAAATTTTTATTTAATCTTCTTAAAGACAAATTAAGAAATGGAAGAACGTTTCTCAATGCATGTAAGCAAAACATTTCGAGCTCTGAAAAAAACCAAAACATTTATAAACCGGAGAAACTATGTGGAAAAATGAACTCTTAAAAAAGGATGCTGAGGGGTGAAACTATATCCCCCAAAAGCTAAGAGAGCAGCTAAAAATGGTTGACCAAGGAATTTTTTTTGGAAGGAAAGAGAAAAGGCAGACAAAATCAAATGTGGAAAATTGTAACACCTTAACTGGGGAAATAAATACAAACTTTTAATGAAAAAAGAAACATGGATAGATGATCAGTGTTAAAAAAGAGAGAAGAATCAAAACAAAGATAACAAATACATGCATTCCCCCCCCCCCCCAAAAAAAAGAAGAAATATTCGTGGGAATAAAAGGATACTCAAATACAGGGCGCATAAGCTCAAAATCAGTACATATCTTAATGGAACAGAGATATCTAAAACACAATCTGGCTGTTTTTCTGATATGATTGCCAGAAATGTCATATTCACCTCAACAGTGATAATATTAACTAAAAAGTATTGAAGCGTAGAAATGTGTGTATTATGCTTCACAGATTATACAAAGGCTTTCGGTAAAAGTTAAACTTGATGAGCCATCTAACATTTTGGAAAAAGTAGATATAGATGGAGAAATCTAAGAATTATTAGGAAGTTTTAGTGGAAACAATACGCTGCTGAAAGAATTGATGGAGAATACAGCGCATAAGCAAAATGAAAGATGAGTGTGACAAGGATGCTGCATTTCAAATGACCTCTTTAATCTAATACAGTGAAACAATCCTTAGAAATATAGAAGAATGTTCAGATCTCAAGGAAATTAATTGCGAAATATTAATAAAATCAGATATATTGATGACAGAGTTTTGATAGCATTTAGAACAGAATCTTCAATCGCTTTCAAATACCTTTGTAATGGAAAATGAACGAAGAGGAATATTGAAGAAAACGGAATGCGTGGTAATTCTCATTTTTAATCTCATATACGAAGGTGAAAAGATCAAACACATTCAACCGTTTAAATATTCAGGATAATAAAATGTAATTACATCTGATGGCAAATGTTCTACAGAAATGAAATGAAGACTTGCAATGGCCAAAGACAGTTTCAATAAAATGAGCCCAATCCTGAAAATAGAAACACCTGAAGGACTAGCAACTTTCTATTCGGCAATGAATGCTGCACAAAGCTTTAAAGACAATAAGAATAAAATCGAAGCAACAGAAATGTCGTTTCTTATAAGG